GTGCAAGAGGATTTGGGTGGTAAGTAAGGTTCTGGTGAAATTTGGAGAATTTTTCTGGGATAAGGTCTAGGACAAATGGGATGTTAAGGTCAAGATGTAGGGTTTTGTTGGATACATAGAAAGGAGCATCGACTATTGTTCGAAGGACTTTAGACTGGAAGGATTGGATGCGCTTGATGTTAGAAAATTTTGCTGATCCCCACAGTTCTAGTCCGTAAGTCCAAATAGGTTTCAGTATTGTCTTGTAGATCAGTAGCTTGTTTTCAATGGAAAGTTTAGATTTTCTGCTTAGTAGTCGGTATAGTTGGCCGTATCGAATATTGATTTTTACCTTACTTTCTATTTTCTTTTGGATAATTTAGGCTTTTAACGCCGTTCCTAAAAAGGCATAATGGTCCAATGATTGGTGAACGCATTTGTAAACAACATAAATTTACAATTGCCTACTGCGGTCTTTTTTTTTTTTATGGACTGTAGCATATTTCCTCAACCTGTTTCTATTTCGGGGCAGATTTATAGGTTAATACTCAAACGGCTGACAGAATTTTCTAGATTTTTCATTGTTTGGTATTGTTAATATAATTTAAAACAATTATTTTAATGTATAAAATGTATTTCTTATATAAGATAATATCGCTACTGTTAGTGCCTAAGGTCGTATGTACCAATTTTATATTCTTATTCTAGTTGTGATAAAGATGACATCTTGCAGTATGCAACTGCTACGAGTAGTCTTAAATATTAGTGAGAAATAAAATATGAAATTATACTTATAAATCATAAAGAAATAATCAGTTTTTATGATTTCTTGAAGAAAAAAAAAATCTTCACATACAACCTTTTGCACTTCTTCTTTCTATCGATCAGTGCGCTTCGTAATTTTGGTAAGATGATATTATAATAATATGAAATGATTAAGCATTTGATCACCTAACTCGTAATTAGATCCATTGAATGAAGAATTACCAACTTACCGAATTAAATATCGGATTTTTATTATTTAATATCGAAATGGCGATGTACTTTCTCGCTATATCCATATTTATGACAAGATTTGGCAAAATACAAAGGACCCTGTCAGAGGGAAGACTTTTGCCCTATTATTAAGACTATTCCAGACCCGTTGCCGAGTGCTCTAGTTCCGAATCGATCCCCAACGAACACTGACAGAGGCACCGGAGACAAGGATGATATTAGAGGCGCAATCGGGAAGGAAGGGGGCCCCTCGGGGGCCTAAGGGGGCTTTATTATTCAGATGCCTGGGGGCGGAGGCAGTGAATAATGAAAGCATGCCCCGGGCTCAACCTCACCGGCACATCTTAATAAAAACCTCCGCTGGATATTGTAATATCTCCTCGCTCTGTCCTCCTTGCTTTCCACTATTCCGCAAACTTGGAATAAATATTTATTTAGTTAATTATTGTGAGGTAATGGACGGATTCGCTATTATAATCACTATCCTCTTCTACGTCAAATTACCAATGCTAACCTTTGTGAAGGAGTTTTTTCTTCATTTTTAGTGTCGGTTGTACGTTAAACTTTCTCTTGGTTTGAGAACCATGGGGACATCGGTTATACCGTTCCTCATAGCAAACTACACGTTAATTTACTAAAATTCAACATGACAGATAGATTAAAAACAATATTTTAAACAATAACATAGCCAAAGAATGCTTGGATAGCTAATGAAAAATTAAAAAAAGATTTAAGGAAGGAAATGGTCATAAATAGACTAAATAGGGGAAAAACTATTTCATTAAAAGCCAACGTTTCGACCCGACTTTGCAGGTCTTCTCTTCAGAGAGGTGTGTTCAGGAGTTTCACTTAGAACTGACAGTAGTTCTAATTCTACTTTTTATACTCATTTATCAAAGGTAAATTATTTAAATGTTGCATTTTCCAAATGGAGGAGGAATATTTCTCTCTCGGCTCGCGTGCAAGTAGCTGAAGTAATTTTATACAAGGCCGCCCAGCGACGCCCCGAAATTTATGTATATAAGCGTTAAACAAAGTGGGTAGCGGACCCTTTTAAGGCTGTAAATTTATCCCGGGCGGTGTTAGAGTGTGAAGGGTTTGGGCCCCTCTCTCGACGGCCCAGATCAAAGCGGAACCAGTCAGTCGGAGCCTCAGTACTTCCGTCAAACCGAGGGTGCAAAATTTAAATTTCCAAAGCCTCTGGTCCACATCGCTTCTCCTTCCGGGCTGACCTCACCGGATTGTTCAATATTATCTCGTAGCCTTTGTCACCCATAATATTTTAATATCTTTAAGAAATTGTGATACCTGAAATCTCCATTCTCCACAAAATAAATAAATAAAAAGAGAAAAGTTTTTGTAAGCTACTTCCATTTTCAACTTTAATCGTCCTACGTTAGAATCTGTTTTATATGTATTTAAATTGGGAGGTGAAAGATATTAGATATATCGATGGAGCCGAGATATCGTTTCGAAAGAGTATCGTTTCGAAAGATATCATACCACAATTTATATCTTGGCACTATTTTCACTGAGCATAATAAGATAAGAGAAGAAATAAAGTCAAGGATAATTGGGGGCGACCAGGTGGCCGAGTGGGCTAATGCGTGTGTACAGCACCATGCGTTGTCCGGCAAACAGATAACCGAGGTGTTGAGATAAACATATAATTACGAGTTCATATCCCGATGCCCGGTGGAACTTTTAACTCAGGAACACGAGAAGAAATGAAAACGAGTCTTGGACACTCCATGAACAGACGATATTGAACATGTGGGAAAAAAGAAAAATCATTGGCAGATAAAGACTAACGAAGTTATGTAACGCCTCAGATATAATATCCACCGTAAAGAGGGAATGATAAGTTGGCTGGCTTACGTGTGAAGAATGGAACATAGAGCAGGCTATTTAAAATGTAGATGCAGGAACAAGTTTTACCGGATGAAGAAGAAAAAGAGACAGGCCTAGGGTCCGTTGGTTGGATGATGTCGAATGTGAGGAGCCTGGGTATAAGTAGATGGAGAGGAGCGGCCGAAGACAGGTCGGTTTGGAGGAAGATTGCAGATGAGGCCAAGATTCCGCAAGGAGCATAGCGCCATCGGTATGGTGACATACCACGGCATCATCATGTAGATTTCTCTGTGGTCTATCTTGGGCTTTTCTTTGTTCTGTATGCAGTTTTCTGGATTCGAACAATCTATCTGGATCTCAGACTTACTCTTGCCAACTGTTACAGCATTCCTTGTTTTAAAGAGGATTCCTGATAGATTATATATAAACAAATAAATAGTTTTATTATTTTCTACTGGATGAATAAGAAATGATTGAACAGCCGGGATTTAAAGGTAGGAAGGGTGGGTATTGGATTGACGGATGTGGGAAGAGATGGAGTTCCATAGGTATGAGGATGATCGGATAATGAACGATCTGTCGAAAGCAGCGGTTCGGTGGGCCCTTATGTATAAATCAGAAGACCGGCAACGAACAGAGTAGTTGATTGTATGCTACTGAAGGAGATGGACTGAGTGTCGGTCAAAAAAGAAAAACATCAAATAAATTCTGATTATCAATTTATTAATTGAGCTTTTCAGTTGACAGAATTACTAACTCCAATTTCAACTTTTTTTACACAGAGTTTTTGGTAGGCTTATTTCATGATAAGTAAACGCACTACTTAAAATGTCAATCAATCCAGTATTTTTTGAAGGGATTTAGGTGGTACCGGTTTTGGGGTTCTAAAAAACTAAAAATTTGTACTTATACAAAAATCTCGTTTACATTAACTTCTTTCCTACCACATTTCTGATAAAATTTCATAAAGTATTATTATCCATAAAGGCTTTGATTTACTATTATTCTATATTCAGTTAATGGACCTGAAAATATAATTATTTGAAAGTAATTTTCTTCAAAATAAGAGAGGAAAATTTCTTTTTATCTAAATATGTTTCTTTATAACATTTTTTTATAAATCCTTACACTTTAATAAAAGATTTTCAGAATAAGGGTTTAATTAACGGCTTAAGATTTAAAAACTCATATTTTTTTTATTTTTTCAAGATCAATAAAACTTAAACTTTCGACCCAACTGATATAAGATATGATATAAACAATTATAGGATATAGGAGCCTTTCAGTTGACAGAATGGCTAACTCCAAATTCAACATATTTGAGGAAAGTCATTTTAATGATATTTCTATTTGGAAATTTTATATCTGTAAAAACAGTGAGTAAGTTTATTTCAGAGTAGGTTATTCCAGTGTTGAAATATAGAACTGTAAATAAAGGTATACATTTCCCATTAGAAATATAACTAAAATTAATAATAAAAAAATATTGAAATCGGAGTTCATTCTGTCAATTGAAAGGCTCACATAAATTTTCTTAAATGAGTGTTTTTAATAAAGTACATTAAACAGTTTTTTTTTATCCAGTTCGAATAATTTAATGAATTAATTTCTAAAAAAATCCTAGGTGTCCTGATTACTAATTACTTTAATTAATTTTAAAATAATGATTTTACTTATTTCATAATCTTCATGAAAACTCAATATTTTAAAAAATGATAATATATCATCTGGAATTCGTAAATTTTCTCAATTCTTAAATTAAATTGATTTTATTGATATTTTCAATAAGAAATATATATTATATAAATGAAATTATAAAAGCTAAAAACAAGCCATTCTCCTCCCACCCTTAAATCAGTGAAAGCAAGTTAGAAATATTTGTTTTCATATGAATTAGATTACGTTGTACAATTTTTTTTTTTTTTATACCTTCTTTTTAGATGCTACGGAAATTAAGTATAATATATATCTGTTGTGTAAAGCGACATATCATAAGTAAATTCTATAGGTCGTTCCACTAATATTCAAAAAAATTATAAATTTGAAATAATTTTCTATTTTTGGGTTATTGTTTTTTTTTTTTTTCGAAAAAATGTAAGACAAAAGCTTCCAGCGACATAGGAACGCACCAGCTGTCGAATCTATGAAACTATCAAAGCACCCCTTGTTTGTCAATTGTCTATGAGCACTGCCTAGGGCATTGTATACCCCATGCTTCCCAAAATGCATCACATCTTGCACAGGTTCAATGGTGCCAGGTAATCTATGTTATTATCTTAAAAGAGTGCTAAATAATTTGATAGAGCAGTTTGATGATACGGATCTCAATGTTTTTCAGTCTCAAAGGATTGGAGAGGCAATACCCAAGGATGTAAGAAAACCGAGTATTTTGCTCTAAAATTTTATTTTATATTTTGATTATGTAAATCGAAACGTGAGTATTGCAATTTTTATGAAATTATATTGTGCACTGCTATTGCTGCTACGCAAATATTTAATTATAGGAGTATTTTTGACAGTTTGATATTTTAAACGTGATTATGTAAGTACATTAGACTTCACATAAGAATACTTTCTCCCCAACATGTTTTAATAATGTATTTTGAAACATTAATACATAGAAATACTATCAATAATTATGTTTGTTATGAATACGATTTACTTTGTTAGCAATATTGAGTAAAATTAGTAATTAAGGATACTCAATTTATAAGTCAAAAAATGTTTAAAACATTTTCATAAAATAGATTACTTTATTTTTAAAAATATGTCTTCTATAAAATTTGTGTTGAAATCAGATATAGGAAATAATAATTAACCTTTAATAACTGTTATGGTATAACCTCAATTTCTGTTAACCGTTTTGATTAGTGATTGAAAATACAAATTAACAGACTTTTTTAAGACTTCCATTTTAGAATTTAAAAAATAAAAATATTAAAGGATTAGGAAGAGGAGAGAGAAAAAAGTCAATTTTATTTCATTACAATTTTTCCGAATAGAAATAGTTTTTACATCTTCGCCACCACGTTAAATGAACGAATGTGAAAATACCCACTTATCAAAATTCTAATAAAAAAAATACATAAGTAACAATTAGTTCAGTATTTATTATTTAACACAACACACATGAGTTATTTTGAAGAATATAGGTATATACTTTATGGCAGTATTAAAAGTTTATAGCATACATAAAAAGATAACAATGAAAATCAATTTTAGCAGAAGTGCAAAATGAACGTTCATAACCTTAATATGGAAAACTTAACCTCTTTTTATTTGGTAAATTTGTTTATTATAAAAGCAATAAAGTTATCCTTGTTATTTTCTTATTTATTTTTTAATGTATAGTAAACAATAATGCTGTTCGGGTTTTAAAAAATCAATATTATATTTTGTGAAATTTACATAATTTTCAGAATAAATGTATAGGTCTTTCAATAATCGTCAAAATTGGCTTTTACTTTTAACGCTGCCTCTTTTATGTTTTTTAATTCGATTCCCGCTTAGTCAGTAAAATCTAAAACGAGGCTAAGTAAAGCCGCGATGGAGATAAGCCACGTTCCTGGGTCATGAAGGATTAAACAGAATTTTTTTTCGGGAGGGGGGATTTACTTAGGCACGTTCGGTTTCTATTGGATTGCGGTTGTAACAACTTCGGGAGTCGTTCGGCATCTGATACGTGAGCCCACCCACTCAACAAACTAATCGTAAACTGTTTGGAAATTGATTATAAATTGTAATTGTTTCTAACCCATTAAAAAAAAAAAATTACAGTTATTTAGGCAATGCACGAAAGATTTTCATTATATTTGCGATCATATCTCCAGTAGGATGAGAAAACATAGTCCGCAAGTCTGTTAATAATATCCATCGGTACAATGTATAGATGGTCATGATCATAATCAAAGATTACGGTCACAGTAATTATGATTGTGTGATTACTATTACAGTGGTCTTCGAATACGATCGTAATCAGGTAATCGCGTCACATCACATTTACTACATTTAAAGTGTTATTAAATCAAGTATAAAATTGGCGTGGTCGTTTTATTGTAATAATGAAATGATTGATTACGACTTGAATAAGATAATATTTCTCGTGCTGTAGATTGTTGTTTAAAATATTGTCATTTTATGCTTCTGGTTTTCCTCTAGTGGCCGTAGAAATGACTCACAAATATATAGCCTCCCTTATTTTTTATCAATGTGAATACTTTAGTATTTACTCATCATGGATTTTTGCGGTATTTGTAAAATCTGGCGAAACAGTCATACAATTTTACTCGTACTAATGTCGTTAAAAATTATAACTTCTATTACAATGTCTTGGCTATTTTTGCTTTAAGTTGCATTAATCATTCAATGGTATCAGATCTCAATGGAAATAAAATAATAATGTTTTTTTGGGGAGCAATGGTTGAAGTTGAGTAACTCAATAGTTCGGGTAACGCAGGCTGTGGCAATTATCTATTTAGTTTTACTTTAATAGGTTATACAAAAAACTTCCAAACCAGATCGACTCTTTGCATAACTGTAGTTCAAACAGTGATAATCAATATTGAATAACTTGTGATACAGAGCATTTATTTATTAATGTATTTATATGTACTTTTGTCGTCTATCCTATTGGTGTTATAATTTAATGATGTTATTAAAGAAGGTAAAAAGAATTACGAAGACTCATAGGACAGTGTTGATAGAAGGGGACCAATCGAAATTGTACATGTTTTTGAGTAAGCTGATTAGACTTAACAAAAGTTAACTGTATTGTGTTCTATTTCCCTTTTTGGTTTATCTTTTTTAAATAGACACATCGCACTCTATTTTAGTTTTTTCATCATCGATATTTCATGAAACAAGAAATGTATGGCTTTTTTGTGATATAAGTAGTAATCACTAATCCCATTTAAATCCTTCTCTGATTCAATTGTGGATAGATTCCTTCTGATAAGTCCAGTTGTTAATAAGTTATACATACTTCCTAAGCTCTTTGTATTGTTTAATCAACATACAATTAAGCATTTAAATTAGTTAATCGAATCAAGAAATCTTTCGATATTAATCGCTTGTTCATTCCCAGTTTAGCCGATATGCGCAACCATTCGATTTAAATTATATGCTTAAAATAAAATCTAATAAATAATATATTATTTTTTTGTTTAGACATTTAAAGTAAAATTTATGGTCATCGAACCTGACATTAAAATATTAAAAAATGCCTTCCTGGCATTCGATATCTCCCCAATCGTACAAATTGGGTTGGGATATATTTATTTTGATTAAACTATAATTTATTTGGGAAAATGTTACAGAGGTTTCATTTCGGTCATTTAGAGTTATATGGGATCCTGGTATTGATCTGGCTTGTGTCATACAACGTGAAGGAGGGGTTGGTGGGCTGTCCGAATGGACCTGCTTTATCCATTGTTCCATCGCTGTTTCGATTCTTATTGTAAATAATATTTACAATATCAGTTGTATATTGTATCGTATGTCACTTGTAACTTGTATATGATGTACGCCGTCATCGAAATACATCTCATTCATCAGAATAGATCTCGCAGCCAAATTCTATAAATTGAAGGATCTGATTGGTTCCATGGGGTTGTTGTATAATTGATGGAAGTCTGTAAATGATATTTACAGAATTACTTCATTTAGTAGTACAAATTAGGTCCGTTTAGTCTGCTATGAAATGTAACGTTTAGTATTAATTACTATTTGATTACAAAAAGCACGTAAGATAATGGTAGATCGTATGTTAGCTTATTATATATAACAGAAACTAAAAATGTATGTACAATGTATTAAAATATTACTGTGCTTGAAAAAGTATTTCTTTTTTAAGTTTTTTTTTTTTTTACAGGAAACGCGTTTTCTAAAAAACGTTGATACGAGAAAAAGATATTTTCAATCTCATCCAAAAGAGCCTTTACATATTTTCTCCTTGAGTTATTTATCGAATCGATTATTTACGGGATCGAAACCATTCTTTTGTACGTTTGACCTGACAGGATTAGAGGAAAAAGGGGGGTGGCGAACTAGTCATAAAAATAATAATTACTTTGGAAAAAACGAAAGAAACTAACTACCTATATGAAATGATGTTTAAGTGATTCCTGAAGTCCTTTTAAATGTAATTTAAATTGTAAATGTAATACTTTAAGAGATAATTTTTAAATATTTTTTTCCATAAAACATGGTAATATTTTACCATTTTGGGGAGTCTCAGCCATAAAGCCCCTCCCTCTCCCCCCCCTCCCGTAGATCCGCACGTGGAGCAAGGAAAAGAATTTGAAAAATCGTAGATCACACACAATTATACTTGTTGTGATCAGCTCCATGTTTTCTCCTTGTCCCTTATTCTGAAAATTTTCATTTCGAAAATCCAAAACTCCTTTGAAATGTGCCCTCTCAAAAATAAAAAAAAAGGTCAAAATATACCCCCCTTAAAAAGTTTGATGGCGCAACTTGCTTCATAAAACTCCCTTTTTGGCACCCTTGGATTCATATTTTCCTTGTAATCCAATTTGTAAATCGTTACCATTTCTATCCCGAATAATGCTCATAATAAATATTTATTCAATTAATTATGTAATTGTTATAATCAAAAGTCCTGTTTTTTCCGTCTTAAGTTAAAATCTATGTTTTATCAGAATATATACCTTGAGTTTTGTTTCTTTATTATTTTTAATTTAATGGATAATAAAACGCTGTTAAAAATACTTCTTACATCAACAAAACGCTGACGTCGGTTTGAGGAACTATAGGATGTAAACAGAAACCGAGTGCGTAGGTTGCAGTATTACAGGTTGTCAGTGTTTGGATATGTTTGTTTTGTTTTACGTGATTATAACAGCAAAAGTAAAATAAATTATGTGGGAATATAAAGTAAATTCGTTTGAGGGTCGACATGATTATAAATAAAGCATTCTAAATACTTGCAAGATATGATAGAAATAAGTAGTTTTGGGTTGTGTTGGTTCAGTGTTTAGCGAATGAATCGTTTGAAATTTTAATTAAAAGAAAAAAGTCGAAGAGTTGTAGAATGTTCCTTTTAAAGATTTCAAATAGTGATTTAAGATAGTTGAAATTTGGTATCTGCAGTTAAGAAATAGTGAAGAGGCTAAGGTTAGTGCATCATGATATGTACAGTATTTAATACATGGAAGTGGTATCGATATTAGAGAAATCATATAAGTCAATATAATCTAATTTTTAAAATGATTTAGTTGAAATAAATCCCTATTGATGTAATTTATTTCAAAAAGAATAGATAAGATATTTAAAAAAAAATATAATACTGATATGGATGAACCAAAAATATGTTGATGATTTGATTTTCAAAAAGTTAAAAAATTGATTACT